GGCGTACGAAGCGGCCGGCCGTTCAGGATCCCGCTTGATCTCGTCGCGTCGTGTATCCTGGTTACGTATGTCCTGTTGTTCAAAACAAGTTCGTGCCTTCGAGAGTCGACAAAGCCTGCCGTTGTTCCTGTAAGCGAGCATACTGCGAGTGAGGAGTACGATTTCCCCGTGAGAAGTAAACAGGTAAGAGACTTTTTTCTCTTAGCTTCTTTATGCGACGCGAACAAAGAGACGCGCGACCGATCTTCACGGCGCGATTTAGCGACACGGCGTCGATTCGTTACTTCAGAGTTTGATCGAGGGGGAATAATTATCTTCCATCGCCGATTGTTTTATATTTGTGTGGAAATTGTTTTCGCATTATGTAAACAACGTTGGGCCGTTGTTTTCGAGCTATCGGTTTTTGAGCGATGATGATGGAAATTCATGGCGAATGTTTATAAACAAGGATATCAAATCTTTGAGTTATTAATTGGTTATATTGCTAGTGTAACATTAAATTATTAATTGGACTGCCACTGCATCTACAGCTTGAAGTTTAAATTATCTTACATGTTGAATAATTATTATTTGTTTGGAAATTCGCAGAGTATCTCACAAGTCAGTTATTTTTCTTAATTAAGAATAATATTGTTCATTATGTAGAACATAAGAGAAAAATCTTAAAAATTATCAGCAATAAATCAAGTATAAATGATGAAAAGTATTTATATTCAGGCAGTAACGGAAAATTATAACATTGAGATAAAATGATAAATTATTTAACTGTAGAATTTTTTATACTTAAAAAATTACTTGTTTTAAGCAAGAAATTTGCCAATGTTTTGTTTTCTTTTAAACATTTTTTAACAGCAGACTCGAGTAATGTAAACAATGGGAAGGAATGATAGTCACCAGATGTCACTATAGAACTCGTTTTTATTAAATACAGTGATATCACTGATATTCTGCACCGTTTTATCAGTGCGTTATTTTCAATCAAATAAAGTTTCTAAGCTCTGTTATTGAAATTATAAAATAAATATTAATTTTTATAAGATACAGATATTTAATTAATAATTTTTTACTTGCTTACCATTTTATTTATTTAGTTAATTTTACATTGAAATCGAAGATCTATTTACATTACAAACATTTTTAAGAGTCTAAAATGCGAGAGTTTATTCAATAATAATATTTTTTCTATAAAATATAAAATAATATACAATTTCCAGGATAGGCATATGATTTCTATTGCTTTTACACAAAGTAACAATAAGCAATAAATTTTTTTCAACGGAAAAGTAAAACAGTTTGACAATCATTTCTAGTACAGCAATTAATGTGAAGATATTGTGTCAGGATAAAACAAAATGCATAATTGAACTTTTCCTTTATTGCTCTATATTGCAGTTTTAATAAAATAAAAATAAGAATATATGTCACGTTTAATAAAGCATATCACAGGGCTTTCTTATTGAATAAAAATTCAATAATATTTATTATTAGCATATCGGAAGATCGACACATTTTTGTTATTGTTATTCGGTACGAAACACGTCAAAAAGCACACTGCTACGTGACAGACGAAACGGTAAAATGATGAAGGTATTTTCAACAATTGTAAATTGATGTTTTTTCTCTCAACGAATTTTTCTCACTTTCTATTCGTGTTGATGTTTCATGTTCGAATGATTTATTTTCCATTTTAATAAAGAACGGAAATAAACAAACATGAGAAAAACAAATAAGTACGAGCGTGTAACATTCGCGAAAATAAATTTATTCGCTTTGTTCTCGCAAGTCTCGTTTCGTAATGAAAAAGCTCGTGAAATTGTTTATCGTCTAGTAAAAAAATCAATAATTATAGATTTACTTTTTTAAAGTTTCTGTTATATTTCTTCCCATTTTTCTGTTTTCTCTTATTCTTCAAATTTTGCATATTAGTACTGATTATATTTTGAACGGGAAGAAAGTGTAACATGATTGAAAAGAATAAACATGACAACAACGTCAAGGATAGTTTGTGAATGATGACAATATTAAGAAAAGAATTGTACGTCCTAATTGTTTGTCCTATATTTCTCGAAATATTCAGTGTATGTAGTTTAACTTGGAACTTTTTGTTGCAGAAACATCGTCATGGCTACTGCAGCGGAATCACCAGTCTCCAAAGAATGTAAGTACATCCTCAAAGATACATAAAATAATATCAAGCAATAATAAGATTCTACATACATTACACTGAAAGAAGTAAAGCCTGTGTGTAATAAATTCGATTTGTCGATCGTAAATCTTTAGAAAACGACATTATTTTTGGAGAATCAATTTAATTAATCGCTTGCAATCGATTTGCAATTACGCTCATAAATCGGTCATAATTCTGATAAATATTATTATGTAAATGAAGAAACAATAGAGCGTTAATGTCAACTAATACGTGAAACATCGTTTGCTCCTCGTCGTTTTGCGTCACGAGTCTTGCATTTTTACAATGCGGTTTCCGGCACGTAATTACGGTTTTTGCGTGTCTTTCGACAATGTGGGGTCGGAGGTTCCCGCAATTGGAGCGGAGACCGGACAGTTCGGCGCCGCGGCGGGAACACACCCTAAAAACGCCGCAGCGAGATCAGAGGAGAACCAGCAGGCATATACGATGGGCAGAGGTCAGAGCCCTCGTCGTCCTCGCTGGCGAGCGTACGAACGCTGCGGAGAAGTTGCTGCTGCAGGTCTGCACCGGGCAGACAACTGCAGCCGGCCGACTGCGGTGCGGTGCACGTCGACGACCCGTCGTCTCAGCGGTTCTCAATTTGTAACTGCGATTTAAATTTGATGCTGTGCACAGCAACAATCTGAAACAGTGCGAGGAAAAATTTAGTCGAAGAAAGACAGTTAAAATAAAAATTAATAAATGTTTTTGGTCTTTTAATTGCTATTCAAAAAACTGTAAAATAGCTTGAGGTAGCTAAATGTAAGTAATATTTTTAATATATTATTAAAAATATATATATGTTACTAATGAGATATTAAAAAATACTTATCTGCAAAAATACAATTTTAAATTATCTTAGTCTCAAAGATTTTTCGATTTATTATATTATATTTTAAATATTTATTGTGTATAGAACTTGTCTTAAATTTTTCCCAGCACTGATTTCAGAAAAAAACCTTACTTCTTGAGTTACATTTTTTTAAAGTCTATTTTAATTTGAAATGAATTGAAAAATATGAAATATGTCACAATATTCAGAAGTTGCAGTAATCATGTTTTTGAGGACTTTTCAGAATTTCTTTTTGATAAAAATTTTAATTGTTATTTAAATCAAGAGTTTCTCTGCGCTTAATCTAACAAAAAAGCCGCATCGAAAAGTTTATCGAATAGCGCAAAGCATGGTTTTTGTCTTTAATGAGTTTTCATATGAAAGAAACTAGGAGGGAAAACACGACACGATAAACTCCATTTTTCCCTCGATCTTTCTGCTCGTTTTTTCTCGTTATCGCTGTCGTTAGGATCCCAATTAAACTGTAACGATGGAATCCAACTCATTATCAGGCTAGTTAGGTCGAGATTTCTCGATCGTCAACAAGTGGAACAAATATCTCTTCTTTTTTTCTTATCACATTTAATCTTTTAACGCCGGACACACTTTGTTTCTTTGGAAAGTTACGGAAGTTTCTTCAACTGTAATTTTTTCCAACTTTATTCTTCTTTGTTTTATACAAAATTACACATGGAAAGAAGAGAGAGAATACAGAAAAATTTTAAAGAATAGGCAATTTTAAGATATTCGTAACTTAAATTTTTGATCTTGGATTTTCCGATTAAAATCAAAATTAAAAATTTTATTTAAATATTAATTTTTTAGATTTCTATTTCAGTAAATGTCAATGAAAAGCACTGTAAAATGTATAAGCAATAAAATCCGCGCAATCAATATTGTCAGTATATTTTTCTGATTTTCTTTCTCTTTATTCTGTATAATAAGCTCGTCCGATTGCTTGACTGCAGAGTTGTCGTGCGTCATGAAAATTTCATTTCTCATTGATTTCCGCGAGGAACTCGCTGATATCTATTTAGCTGCGTCATAATGCGCGAATGCCGACAAACAATGTCTTCGATCGTTTGTTGCAATGAAAAACTTTGCACAAAGCGCGACCATTACGCGTCCTATATTTTCCACAATTGCTATTATGACTTTCGTGTCGAATCTACAGGTACGTAGAATTGTCCACCTTTCAGTGGACACTCGATTCAAAATTTTTTTTTACAATTTAGATCTTGGAGGAATTTTTAAAAAATTCGTGAGACTTTTGTAATTTAATTTTCATCTAAAAATCTTAGAATTTGAAGATTCGCATTTGCGATGTCAAAATGCGCCGTCATATAATTTGAGACAGCTTTTTTTTGTAAGAAAAGAATTAATTGATCAAAAATAAAACACAGCTTTATAATTTTATATTTTAACTTTGCTTATTTTATTATATTAGTTTTATAAAAGAAATAAAAGTATTGTGTCGTTTTAAAAACATTTAATTTACGTCTTTAAATATTGTTGGACTTTTTTAAATTCAATCTTCTGAATTGCTTAAAATACAATAGCTGTTTTATGGATCTGTGAAGTTAACATTCTATTAATATAAAATAAAAACAATTACAGTTTCAGTAGCACTTTTCATAGTTCTACAGTTCCTTATAAAAATAAAAAAAAAGTTCCGTAATTTTTATTTTTATAAGGGCCTGTAGAACTATGAAAAGTGCTACTGAAACTTTAATTGTTTTTCTTATATTAATAAAATGTCGTGCTAACTTCACAGATTCCTGTTTTATAAATTTTCAGCTTGTATAACTTATTTATAGATAGCAAAAAAATTTTTTTGCAAAGACATAAGTATCTCAAATTATCTGATTTTGTTATGTAAGTTTGGTAATTTCATTATTCAAAGATTTGGGAATTGAAAAAGTCTGATCAATCAATACAAATCTATTGCGATATTTCGAAAGTTTTGCACAGATTTTTCCCAGGCGGACTGTCGCCTGTTTGTCGCCGAAAATCGTTTCGGAAATTGAAACCGGTCCTTTGCCAGGATGGCGGTAGTTGCCGGTAGAAGGCTAGAGGATTTCGGAGGGTGGTAGATCTCTGGTCGGGGGGTGGGAATGGACAGATGGTATTTTACGCCTGCACGTAGACTTTCACACGTGTCTGGCAACCGGCTTCGTTGTACCTAGTGTCCTTTAAAAAAAAAAAGAAAGGAAAAAATGAGAGCTTTTCCAACTTTTTGCGGTTCTGTGTCGAAATGGACTTAACTTAGTGCTTTACTAACAGTCGAATAAATAGTTTTTCAAATTTTTACAAAGTTTCCTAGATAACGAGAATTGATTGTTATATTTATCTTAATTATTTTAATCATTTTGATACCATTAAAATAAGAATAAAGTTCTTAATTTAAGAGCATTTTTATGCAAACAAAATAAAATAAATGATCATCGCTTTAATTAGCAAAACTATACATATGTACTCTGCCAAGTGTACAGTATTATATATAAAAAAAACATATTGAAAAACATATATGTATGTAAATTACATTGCAATCATGATTAATTTCCAAGATTTTCGACACATTCAAGATTTTATCAAATATTTTCAATAATTTCTACATTTCGGGCAATACTTGAAACGATTCGAGATTTTCATTATGCATTTAAAGCGATTTGATGCATCTTGAGCCTACAGCGCCCAGTACGCATACTTCAGAATTCTAAAAACTTCAAAATTCAAGTACATGAGAGAAAAAAACAACGGAGCAACTCCTAAAGCTGAAGGACTTGGCGTCAACAGCTCATGCGAGATTCAGCCACCCGAAAGTTCCGCTTAATTTCCGACTTTGATCATTTCTCCCCTCTCTTCTCCCGCCCGTGCATTCGCCAAGCCGGCGTTTCCACGTCTAGCTCGGTCTTTTCTCGGAACACCCCGTATAGCCCGTAACAACCCCCTCCAAAGGGGCGCCGCTCTAGCGGCGATCGCAGGTTGGAGTCGCTAGCTAGGAAGGCGTCTTGTCGTCGGGTAGGCTGTCGCGCGACAGAGAGGGCACACGGAGAAAGGGAAGGCTCGAAGAGGGAGGAGGGTGGTTGGATATTGAGCGACGCCGGGCGTCGCGGCGCAGCGTGCGTGCCAGTCGCCTTCCAGCCACCGCCCCAGTTACGACCCGAACGACACTTCCGGCGTGCGACGTTCTCTCTTGGTCCCGTCTCTCCTCTTCTCTCGTCTCCTTCCAGTGTCTCAGTCTCCGTTCAGTGCCCGACTCAAGTCGTCGCAAATCTGAGATCCGCGAGACTCGATTTTCCTCCGAACGAAACGAAGCGAAACGAAACGGCGACATGCTGATCGGTCTCGTGCGTGATTCGGTACTCCAGTGCTTCTGTCACAGCTGCAAGGCCCCGCTGGGCATCGTAGGTGAGTGAGTCCCCGTCGCGAGGCCCACTCTTCCCCGCGCAGCCCCCTTGCGCTCGTGGTCCTTCCGGTTTCCGTGCGAAATTTCGTAAAAAAACGGTGACCGGCTTGCCGTAAGTGCCCGACCACTCTCAACTTTTGGTCCGAAATCACACTTCTAGAATACTTTCTTTCTTCAGTTCTTCAAAAATTCGTGAAAAATCATATCTCAATCTTTATAATAGTTTGTTCATTCGTGAGGAAAGAAGAGACCATCTTTCTGCTTTAAGTGGCTATGCAACGCGATCCTGTTTCATATCAAAAATGCCATCGCATCGTCCCAGTAGACTCAATTAACAGTGGCTTTACTAAAGTGTATTGTTAGAATTACAACTCAAAGAGACTTTGTCAAATTGAAACTTCCTTTCGCAATGTGGATTGCGGTGCTTTTCGATGTGAAAAAGGAAAAGCTCAATCGCGCTGCTTGGCATTTTTTAAACGTATGTTTAAAATTACATTCAAACAATTGAAAGAAATGTTGAAATTGAGAGAAGTATCTGAGATTTTTTCGCACTTACGGTATTGATTTGTCACTGAGCTTTATCAGGATAAAATTTCGTAGCGTTATTTTAGAGTATCACCAAAGAAATCCGCGATTTTTCCGCCAACTTTTGCAGAAGAAATTTCCAAATTTTGCGAACAATTTGATAATTTCTGAGCAATTTTGCACAAAAGTTTTATAATGAAGCTAATCTTTTACAAAACAATCGCGTGATAAAACTCTGCTCTTTTCTAGGCGAGATGAAATCTTTGTAAAACAATTTTCGGTCATAATTATTCACTTATCCGCTTTTGGGCAGAGCAACAGAGCTTTTCTCGGAGGAATCGCGAAATGATTTATTTATCGAGCCAAACTTGTTCAGATAATTCTGTGTTATTTATAGAACAAGGTGTTGAACCCATGGTTCATTGCTTCGCAAACGCTTTTACTGAAGACAAAGTTCCTTACAGACGAAATTCTAGGCTGGAAATTTTTAGAAATTATTTTGAAAGCTTTGTGTGCAGTCTTTAAACAAAGTCGAACAAATTTCTATTCGAACGAATATTGCATTTCGTCTTTACAGTTCTTAATATAGAAATCTAAAAAGAAAATGCTTGGCATCATTTTCGCACTTACCTTAATTTTTCACGATTGAAAAAGTGAAAAGAGGAAACGGAAACCGGAAGGAAATAACTGTGATCTTCGAGCTACCGGAAGTAGGAAAATCTCACGATGATTCATTCTCTTATTTTTCGTGGAAAAATCTGACGAATGGGAGTGAGATACGGGAAACAGATGCAATCGTCTCCCACAGCAGGGAATGTTTCGCAAATCCAACCCTGATTCCGGATTTGTCAAAAAATACCGACACGTGCAGGCCGTAAATCATTAATTTATACAATATATTTCTATGCAAATTTATTTACACACATTTTGCTTAGAAAGATATATACTTTATCTTCGGATTGATTATTACATTTGATCATACGTTTTATTTTTTAATTCTACATTTATTCTTTCTTATTTTACATTTTTTAATTATTTATTATATTATTCTTTCCACCGCTTTATGTATTTTATTAATGTTTTTATTATTTTTTTGATTACTTTTGTTATTTCTTTATTCATTTCATTAACCATTTTGACTGCGTAATAATTTAACAATCTACTTCTTTAATTCTGTTCGAGTATACAGTAATTCTCGAAGTTTAAATAACGTAAAGATATGAAAGCTGAGTTTTTTACTGACTTTCGATTCCGAAAATAGAATTTCTTTTTTTTCCTTGTGTCCTTTGAACACAAGCACTGTCCTTACCCGCAGTGCACAATGGTTGATACCACGGTGGTATCGTGATATTATCCTTGGGCACCTGCAGTTCGATCAATTTCGCAGACCGTCTGCGAATCGATACTCACGGTCCACCATTTTTCTACGGGGTGTCGCGAAATTCCGCCAGCGAATCCACCAAAATTATCGATATATTTGACTCTTGAACGTCTGCAAACAAAATTCAGGTTTTACTTTGAAAAATATTGATTTTAGCAGTAAAATTAAACGCTTGAATTAAATATGTTACATTCGGTATGAATTATAAAATAATTTATTCGCAGTAAAACCTTGTGGAAAATTATTGTTTATTAACTAGTTCGAGCAATATTGTAACTTTTTAATATTAAACTCAAACGCGCGATCCTATATTCAAAATATTAACATAATATGAGATATTTTATACTTAATTACGGAAAAAGTTAATATTTTAGAATTAATTTATCTTTTATTATATTTTTTGATTATTGCTTTCATACGCAGTAAATTTGTCGGTTAGGTTATTTTTTTTAATAAGCAATATATATTAACATATGAATAAATTAACAATTAATATTTTTCCTCATAATTTTAGTTTGTTTTTAATAGACAAGTCAAATTATTTTCAACATAATGACTTATATGATTACTAAAATAGCTATTGTTTGTTAAGCAATTTTTTGCTATTCGACAATATTTAACATTGCGAATTTTGCAACGCCGATATGCACGTGTTCGGCTTGCCGAAACGATCAGGGTGCGGTCCAACATGGCTACGCGAAACGGTTGCATCGATTTCTCGATAATTAACCCATTGGGACACCAATCGATTTCCCTTCAGCCGGACAATGGCATGTCCGATGCTAATTTCGTTTCTTTTATAGCTTCTTTGTTCCCAAGATAATCGCGTATTAATTAAAGTTTCAGGAAAGTTTATTCATGCTTTGGAAACACGATTCGCATTCTTCTATTTTTACGATTTTTACGATAATTTTATATAATTAGTACAAAGTGAGAGGTCATCAAAAAAGAAATGACAGCACTTGTTGCTGCTCATATTTGCAATACTTTAAAGTACCTTTTTTATTGTAGATAAATTTGGATCCAAAGATAGCTTTGATTTTTTGCAAATACTACATTATGTTTGGATTGTATAATTAAATGAAAGAGATGGTGACTCAATGGGTGAAAAACGCAATTCTGGTTTTCCCTCCTTTGATTTTCCCCGAAAATCGCGAGTGCTTTGACTGAGCTTTGAATTTCTAAAGCGGGACAGAGGAGGAATAATGCGCCGTTTAAGAAGCCCAGCGGCAAGGGCAAGCCGCGGACCAAGCAGCCGAAGAAGGTGAAGTTCATCAGTAAGTACACGAATAGATCGGCGATTGAAGACCTTTAGCGAGCTTTGGATGACGTCAAAGAACGGCGCATAAAATGCACATACACTTGTTCGGTCGGATCGAATTGATTCTTTAAAATTCTAGTGACGATACACAACTATGATCGTTAAAAGAACGTTTCAGAGTCACGTGAACGGTAATTTTAAGACGAACTCTTGGCAAAACTTTTGCATTAATTTTTACCGCAAATTATGTAACTCTGAAAATTTCCTTGCTGGATAAGTTTTTCCTAGAAGAACAATTTTATATTTGTTAAAAAGGCGGAGTTTGTCAATAAATTCTCAGATAAATTAGCGTGCTTTGGATGACGTCCAAAGATAATTTATTAGATGAACGCTCGTTCAAGTCAAATCTTTAAAATTCTACTCGCGATACCCATACGACATTCAGAGAACATTTCAGATGATTGTCCATAGAAATTTTAAGAGAAATTCTTAAATTGAATGATAATTTTTACGATAAAAAATCTAAATCTAGAAATTTTTACTGAACAAATTTTTTATTTGAAAAAAATGTTTGATATTTGTGAAAGAGACTATGTTTTTCAGTGAATATTCGAATGGTTGACGGGTTTTGGTCATTAAAAGACAGCTTGTTAGCGTATTTATGCTCGTTCGAATCGGATCGAATCGTCAACTCTTTAAAATTCTAGTGACGGTATACAGTTTGCACATTAGGATGATTTAAAATCGCGAACAATAATTTTAAGACAAATTCCTGATGAAAATAAGATAATTTTTACTATAAATTTAGAAATCTTTACTAGAAAAACTTTTATTAAGAAAAATCAACTTTAATTTATAAAAGTCTGTTTCTAAAATACTCTAATTGTCAGCGCACTTTAGAATTTAACTTACAAAATTATACTGTTTTAATCTACTCTTAAATTTTTAAATCAAATTAAGAATTTTTTAATCTTTTTCTCTTATTTTTTCTTTTCTTCAATTAAATACTCGTATTATAATTACCGCGTCACGTATTTGGATTGTAATTTTATCTGCACGAAAAATGTAAGAATATCTGAGAATTAAGGGAGCACCTTCGCTATTAAAGGTCGGTACAATGCCCTCGCGGCGAGAACGATTGCGCCAAAGTGTCGCCGCTGAATTATACATACGTCGAAAGCAAGTAAAACATCGCAAACGTACGTGGAGATGTACGACAATATCGACAATTTTTCACAACAGTATTCTGAACTACGACTTGTTCTGCCAAGTAAAAAAATCAGAAAAAAATGTGAAACCTAATATCTTTTAATTGCTTTTTAATGCCCTTGAATTATTCATTCCTGAATGGAACAGAGTTTGATTAAACATTCAAGAAATTGATGTTCAATCATCGTTTAGTTTTTCAGTCAGTATTTGTTAAGAGATAAAGAGAAGAGAAAAGATGGAAGAAAAGGAACATTGCGATTTAGCAAATGACGATTCAGATTTCGCGGTTAAGTAATTGTTGGGTTTTTCTAAAATTGTCGCGGCAAAATTATATGACACGGTATGATATACGGTAATTACGACACGGTGGTAACGGCGGGTGCACCTAATGCAGAAGAGAAAAGAGGAGGCGGAGGAGATGCGTGCGGCGACGCTAGACGTCGCGGCGCCTACAGCCGATCGTTCTCTCCGATCGATCTCTTCTCCGTCGCGCTTCTCTGAGTCATACTTCCGTAACTAGCCGGCGCCGGAAGTCTTCGGATTGCGAATCGTGCGAGGGGAATAGCCTTTCGAGACAAGATATTAGATTACTTGATTCGAAATAAACTCGTAAATAATTCGAGGATTTTAGGCAGAAAGGAATTTTGGAGTATTTATAGTTTAAATTTCTATTTGCCAATTGAATGTAAAAGACAATTTCTAAAACATTTCAAACTTAGGAACTGCAAGAACTTATTTTCTGCAAATTTCGTTTCTGCAAGACATTAAAACTTGGGAGTTTATAATTTTCCTGAATTTCTTGAAATTTGAAATGACAAAATTTAATTCAGAAATTAAAGAAAATAGAAATATTTACAGAGTATATTGATATGCGCATGATTTTGGGAAGATAATTGTTAATTAAAAAAGATAGACTGCAAAATATTAACATTTTCTTATGAAAGAAATATTAGAAACTTGCTATAAAACATTATCGTACATAATTTTTGTTGCTCTGCGCATTAATGTTGAAAATATTAAAATAATTGAGTTAAATAAGGGCCAATTTCTTATGAAAATTCAAAATTGAAGATTCAAAATTGAAAATAAAATGTGCTAATAGATCAGCGCTAATTGTTCATGCTATAATGCTTACATTTAGAAATATTTACAGACCGTTTCGGTCATTTAACAAGACCAATCATATTAATTTAGAATTTAAAATTATCTTACAAATTCATATGTTAATACAATAATCAAACCACCAGTCTAATTAATACACAATTATTTAATTATGGTAAATTATTGTATCAACATATGAATTAATAATAGGTAATTTAAAATTCTGAATTAATGTGACTTTATATACAATGAGGATAGTTTTGTTAAATAATTGAAACGTTTGTAAACATTTCCGAATATAAACATCATAACATGAAACAGTGATTGATCTATTAGCTCACTTTATTTTCAATAAAAATATTATATCGAATAGAATAATATTTTATAACAGAATGTGCTTAGTTTTAATTATTAATAAAATCAAAATAAAAAAGAATTTAAATGAGGACTCTTGGACTTTAAAGAACTAGCAACTTGAACTATCATTGTCACAAGCAGAGCGCATTATATGCGTCTGTTAACATTAAGATATTGTTACGAAATATTAAGAAGAAGGAAGTAGAACATTCACTTTGAAACTCTGAAAGACGCAACTGAATTTCAATTCTAGAATTAAATGTTTAAATATCATTTCTTTATGATTATTAAAATGTAGAAAAAAATGGTTACATTTAAACATGCATTCTACATTATTGATGAAAATTTGCAGCGACTGAGATCCGATGCCAGGAGAAGTCCAAGGGTGGATTGTGCTACGAGGTGATCTTGGCGGAGCCGACGGGGCCTAAACGCGCACCCTCGCCGCCGCAGCCGAGTCCGACGCAGCAGACCGCGATCGAGGACAAGCTGAAGGCCGCCGAGGAACGCAGGTTATCGATCGAAGCGCACAAGCTCGCGTCCCTCGCCACCAAGCTCAGCAAGATCGAAGAGGCGTCCCGCAAGAAGGACGAGCTTAGCGCGGCCTTCATCGCCGCCACTCGCGAGTCTCTGGACGCTAAGATGAACAATACGGAGGAGAAGCGGGAGGCTCACATCGCCGAGTTGAAGAGCAAGCTGAAGGAGCACGTAAGTAGAGATTGGCAGACACGCACGCAAGCGATTTTTATGATTAGTTTTGAATAATGTGTTTAATTTATTTACTGCGTCTTTTATTGTGCGAATATTAATTGATTAGATTAAGCATAATTTATTAAATTTATTATTTAGAAATTATCGCTCGTAGTGTGTTTGTCACTGAAATATCTGAGGAAACATTGTATCATTTTTACTTTATGTTTTATTGTAGTTGGAGGGTGTTGAGAAAACTCGTCTGAGCCTCGAGCAGCAAACCGAAGAGGTGCGATGCGCCGTTGAGGAGAAACTGAAGACTGCCGCGGCTCAGCGTGATGAAAATATTAAGAGAATGCTGGATCGTCTCAAGGAACATGTTAGTATTTTTCATCGTTTATCGAGTAATCTTAATAATTAAAAATATAATTTTTTTAAAATATATATATTTTTATACATTTATATGAAATTTATATAAAAATATAAGCAGGGGGGTAATGAAACATTTCTAGACCGCAATTGCGGCTTTTGTGTTGTCTCTTTTTTTTTCTGCTACTTTGCTTCAGAAAAGTTGTTACTTTGTTCTGCATATTTTAGCAAGCGAGCTGTATAGGCAGATAATAGACTCGGTAAGAATAGACATAAGTTATCGATTCATGGCCTGTTTGCAGGAGGAACAAGTCGCTCGCGTACGCCAAGGAATGTCAGAGCGCGTGCAGCAATTGGAGTCCCAAATTCAGGGCAAGCTGGAACAGGCACGCGAGCGTCGCGAATCTATCGAGCGCGAGCAGAAGGAAAAGCTGCGCAATCATGTAAGTTTCGTCTAACGTAGCTCTTTCGTAGTCATGTGGTAGCTTGGACAGTACGTCGGTCTCTAACTATCAGGTTGTTACGAGACTTGGTCGATGTTTGAATAAATGGGAAAAAGCGACAAGATGTCAAGACGTTGTTTTAATATTATATTTCCGATGTTAAATTTGATTTATTTAAGAAATATTTGTATGGATAAATATTGCTATGAAGTATAGAATTATATGAAATTAATATATGCAGTTTGTATTGCACTGCAAGCTCTACATACTTTGATTTTTATTTAGATAATATTTCAAACGTTTTTATCTTCCGAAAAAGTTCGAGTATAATTCGAGTGTCCAAAGCTTAAAAAATTTTAAGTTTTATATTGTTAAATCGGAAAGTTGCTATATCATGTAACGCAAAGAACGTTAATCTCAAATGTCAGAAATTTTTGAAATTGAAATATGAAATCATTGAAAAGTTTAAAATTTAATTTTTGAGTCCGAAAGTTTACTGAATATTAAGAAAGATAAAAAGCGACGAAGGGTCGTGCGTAACAGCCTGATATCTTTAATTGAAGCATTTATATCTGCGAGCTTTTGAGAGAGTGAAAAAAAAATAGTAAAAAGCAAACCGGACGATCTCGGGGTTGTCCCCGAGGTTTTCCTGCGAATAATGAAAAGAGCACTGATCGAATGCGCGCGCTTGTGCGGTGGTGGTTTAGAACACGGTGAAGATAGCGAAAGTGCGTCAGACGGCGGCGCGAGAGCTCCTGGTGAAAAAGTTCGAGTTCGACAAGAGGGTGTCGGCCGCGGAGCTGAATCGGCAGCGAGAGATCCAACGTCGCGTGCAGGCGATTCGCCGCCACCATGTAATTTCCGTCCCCCGCACGCACTCTTAATCGCAGATCGAGCCGCACTCGCGGACGTTAACAATTTGTCGTACGATAAATCGAGCGCCACGCAATACGATTATTTTCTAAATTTTTTTGTTTCATTCGATGATACATCAAAACAGTACAGTTTATTGTAAATTAAAAGCCAATTATTTGGCATATAAGTCAAAATATATTTTACATAATTATAGCAGAAATTTGGATATGTGAATAGTATAATGGGAATACAAATAAAATTTCCAGAATTATAATCAATATTAAATGTTGAATTATGTATTGTCGAACAGATGAAGATAGACGTATTTATTTCATAGATATTATTACATCTGAAATTATTTATTCAGCACATTTATTTTTGACGTAATGCTTTTTCAATAAATCTCAACGAGTAGAATAAAAATGTAATAATGAAATCTATGTTTTGTGTTAGCTTTCTATAGTGCTACATATTTTTAAAATTACTTTGCATTACGAGAATTTTAGAATGGCAACTAATAGAACAAATTGTAACGTCCGCGGATTGCATTAACAACATAATTATCTCCTCCATCTCGTACCTCCTCTCCCTTCACAGCAGATAGTTAGTTATATTTTTGTAGGACCCACGAAGACATCGATAGTTGCGTTTGCGAAAGGAATGCTGTCGCCGTTGCGCTTTTGCCAGATTATGTTGCAGCCTTCGTTATCTTATAGTTATCCTTCAGCATGCTCATTTATGGCTCGTACGTAATTATTTTACGTATCAGGGTGCACCGGGGAGGATGCATTCCTTCGTATAATTTATACGGAGATTTATCAACGATTAGATTTTATTGCTCGCAATAAAATCAACGTCAATCGGTTGAAATTGAAGAGCCGAGGCTCTCTCAGTCTGAGAGAATGTCAAGATTGAGGGAAATTCGAGAGAATTCGGGAACTTCTCCGACGCACCCTAAGTTTCATTACGTTCTAGCTGACGCGTTACATCAGCTTGCAGTTAGAGAGCATGGCGTACTTTTCGACCTCTGCCTTCGACGGCGTCGCAGACCGAATTATCATTCTAAATATTTCTTTCTTTCTGTTCCCGTAGGAGAGGCGCGCCGAGATCGTGAGACAGAAGAAGGCGGCGCAGGACCGTCTGGATGGCAATCACGCGGACGAGCCGGTTCTGCCGGTAGAGAACGAGACCGCCAGCTCCGGCTAAAGATCGCCCGGAAACGCTCGCTTCAAGGCCGCTCGAATGCCCCGCAAAGGCTCCGTTTCGCTTTGTGCCATTATTTTCTGACTCGAAGTAAAACGGGCGGTCGATCACGCGCATCGGACCGCGCGTCCATGCTTTTCGAGCGGAAAGGGCGACGGCGGAATCGCGTTCTCCCGGCGGTTCCTCGTGTCGCGCGGACAATACTGCCTTCGTCACGTTATTCCCACTTCGGCGATGTTCCGCATAGCGCACGGTTTCTTGAATTTCGGAGAGAAACAGCAAGGCAAGTGATCTTCGGCGTTGTTGCGAAAGTTTAGCATCGAAATGGGGGGGGGGGGTTTTGCATTTTGAAAGGATTTTAAGGATGTTGAAATACTGAAGATGTAAAAGGATCTTTGCAAGATTGAGATACTCAATGATATTTAGAGTTTTGAAAAGTTTTCAAAAAATCCAAAGAATTTTTATATTTTTATTCGTTATTTAAAAATATAGAAAATACAAGAATCTACAATGCAAAATATTTTAAGATCCTTTTTTTATCGATAAGAATATTCTAATTTGAATATTAAGAATCAAAGAACTTTCGCAGCAACCTGAATAAAATTTTTTCCAAAAATATGTGGCCATTTTTTACATGAAAGGATAATTTAAAAATTAAACTAAAAATAGATTTTAAAACACATTTGAGGGATTCAAAGTGGAAACGGCTTAAAATCACGTATGTAATTATTATCGTTTATGTTAACATTGCAAAGTACAGCAATATACTAAAAATTTTATTTTAATCAACTAACCGAAATATACATTTAAGAAAAAGTAAAAAAAAATAATTAAATACAAAGATTACTCTTGCTTTTAATCCCTCATTTATTATTAAACATTTCTTTATATATTGAATAATAATTTAACCAACGACTACGTCTCTTGTTTTCTTCTTTCGTGTCGTTTTCCTTCGCATACATTATCATCTCAATCTTGTCCCTGACGAGAGAGAGAGAGAGAAAATCGGGAAAAGAAATCTCGGCGATAGTTAACGATCGATTAGGCCGTGATTATCGGGTAATCGTTTCGAATCGCAACGTAATGTTTCCCGAGGGAGGGGGAGGAAGATTTGGTTTGATAGAAATTAACAGATTTACTATAAATCACCATCGCTACAACTTAGATTCTAAGTGGTGCGACTGCGGCTTTTTCTGTCCGCGCGCGCTCACACACACGCAGCAGAGGATGCGTGTGTGCGCGCGTGTGTGCGATGTGTGCCGACGTGTTAAGAGCACACTCATGATTATATATATAAATATAATATACATATAATTATATATAATGATACATTAATAATGATAATAGTGCTTTATACTAGGCTTGAAAACTTGAGAAAACCATTTTGTACTCATTGTAATATTACTGCGCTAACCGAAATGAGATAACATTCACACGAGACATGTAGTCTATAATGTAATATGATAAAAATGTGACGCTTCTGTGATGAATTTGATTATTTGTCAAAATGTGTAGCGTTTAAGTGCGGGCGGGGGAATGAATGAGAGTGTGGTTGCGCGTGCATGCATGCGTGAGAAGTATTAGCAGGAGAAAAACGGAGGAACGTTTTCGTTTCTTCAAGTTGGCACGGTTGTCGTGACCAGGGGAAGTTCGTTCGCATCAAGGATCGAAGCGTGGTACGATGTTGCTGGGCCCAATCTCGACGCACGAAGTAGCGCCTGTTACAATCGCTGTTTTTATTATACGCTTGCAGAAAAAGGAATAAAGCAAACTTTAAAAAAAAAAGCAAGAAGGGCCGCGTTACGGTATTTTCTGGTATACATAGGCGAGCTTCGATAACTTCTAGAACTTCTGATCGTCAGGAACACTTTCGAACTGATAGAAATGTAATATAATTCAACTTGGCGTACAAAAAAAAACGACTGCTTTATATAAGAAATTAAGAATAGAAGCTGAAGTTTTGGAGACAAAACACGAGCTCTGGAATCCTTGATTACAAGGATCAGAGGGTTTAAATGGTGCCTGAGGGTGCAAACTTTTTGAAAATTTAAGGTACCTTCTGGATTTAAAAAAATGAAGATAGAAGAAACTCGGAGAACTTGAGCCTTGGTCACAGTACCGCTGCAACTCCAAGGACTTAGATTGCAATCGTATTCATAATATTCATCAGCTTGCATTTTGTAATTCAGATCAGTAGTTCCCAAGCTATTGAGCAACTTGCTTTCAATGCTGTTGGTTTGATTTGTGTGATGTCAAAGATAACATTATTATGGAGATAGAGGAACATTTTTATTGTCGATTTTTTTAAACGAAAACTCGTAGTCTTAAAATTCTACGGATTTTCTTTTTAGAACCTAAGAATTAAAGATTCTTAGGTCCGAAATTCTGAAGTAGAAATTATCCCGAAATAGATAATTAAATTATTTTTGTTTGTTGCATTTATCGTTTATGAAAGGCTTCTTATTTTTTATAAGAAAACGAATGAAAATTTGTAAAAACATATCAAAGAAAAATGATTCTACGCTTTAACATAAGTCGGAATAATATAATTTTATTTGTTTTTTATTTTTATTCTTGGGAACATCTGATTATTTGCATTATTAGCGTGCATTTAGCCTTGACTTTAGCGATAACTTCAAAATACAAATTGGAATTGTACAAGCTATTTTTAAAACTTTAAAGAACTTTAAAACATTTTTTGAAAATTCTTAATTCTTGCACACATTTGGAAAACAAAAAATTTATTTTTTTACTAAATTGATATTAATTTAACGATTGGAATATCGAACTGTATAATTCTTAAGTGACTCTGCTTTTTATTTTATATAATTTGATAAAATTGATTAATATTTCGTTGCATAATTTATATTAATACAACATATTTCTTAATTTGTGAAAGGGCTAAATGTACGTTTCCGCAACTATCTAAGGAATTTTCACAGATAACAGCCTAATTGCACGAATAATAATTAAGCGTGGAAGTTGACGAGCGGAAGAGAGTGAGAAGATGAGGAAAAAGTGGGCAAGGAGAAATTTCCGAAGAATTTTCAGGTGAATCGAGGAGAAATTTGTCTTGCCGTGTCGCGACAAGTGGTGGGTAACGTCTATTTTTGCATCATTGTTGTATCCTTTGGAAATTGTATTCTCGTGTAATGATTATATGCGCTGCGCGACGTGTGCACTGTCTTTCTCGACTTATTATGTTACAATATATACTGGGTGATCTATAGAAAGCGAGCAACAGTGCCAGAAATGGGAACTTCGTGTCTTTCTTAGGGCATCCTGTATAAATGTGTATAAATTTCTGCTCGACGACGCATGCAGTGGATCAAGAGTCGCTATTCCGGCAGTGCAATTAAGCGTGAAGAAAATTTCAACGCATTAAGAAGGAAATACTGAAGTCGTTGGAATTGTAATCTTTTAATATCACAATTATGCAATTTTATTATTCGTGTGCAAATTATTTTGTCCGCGATTTAATATTATATTATTATATATTATGCAAATCATTATTTTCATTATGTATATTATTACATGCAAATTGTTACATTAAAAATTGTACATCGCGTCGCTGCAAACTAATTTCTTTTTCCGGAACAACGACTTTTGGTCTATTTGATATAGCATGTGTGTCCTCGTGGGCTTTGATATCGTCTGTCGTGATGAGAGGAAAGCGTGAAAAAAAATTAAATAAACGAGATATATATATATATAAATGTAAATGCGAGCGGGATAAAAGATTATCGTATCGCGATATACTAATCGCGTCTTGCATTGGCTGCCTTCGATATACTTCTTTCGGTTTCTGTTCAAGATAATGTGTGTTAAACGAGAATTCGATTGTGTGTGAAGTAAAAGGCTATATCTACACGCACCAGGAATGCCTATGTTATTCTGTTTTTGCCTGCAAAATCATTCCTTTCCCTCGAAAACTTCAAAAATTTATTAAATATTTTTCTTAATTACAGGTTGCGATTATTTAATTTGTAATTTATTATTTTTATTGAGTTATGAAGGATTTTCCCAATAAATTCTGATGCTTACATGAAGAAGAAAATATCGATTTAAGATGACACAGTAAAATTTTTAATTTTGCAATTCGTATTTCCCTCTCACTACTTTACATTTGTCACGTGATTACGTGGGCATGCGTAGAGTGAAAATGTCGTAATACGCATGGTAATATGTAAAGTTTAGTTGACATTTTTTTCTGTAGAATTTGACAGATGATATAATGAAATTTTGTCGAGCCTTTACTCTTAACATCTTGAAGCCAAGCCTATATTTTCAAATTTCTTTTCAATCTTTTATTTTATTGCACAATGAAAACATGGCTTTTGCAATCATACGTGATGCGCGCGCACACGTGATGGGCCACGTGACGTCAGTACACGGCATGGCCGCGAGCCAAAGGCCGAGGGAGCCGAGCTGTGCCGATCTTAAGCACTGCAGTCGAGCAGCAGTAAGCAAATATGGCTGCCACGGAGGCAGATAATAATGCGTAGCAGACGCGTCGCCGCCGGGAACGATTGCGTGCGTGTGCATGTACGATGTTGTTGAAGGGCCGGGCTGCGACAGCGAAGAAGTACCGCAGGCATCATGGGAAAAGCGGCGCTAGATCCGCAGCCGGTAAGTCGCAATCTCGCAATCAATCTACGCACGAAACCTGCGAGATCGCCGCGCATTCTCGGGCCTCCCGCTCTTCCTTTCTGTGCATCATTCCTCCCTTCCCGCTCCGCGGGACGACGCACCAACGATATCGACCATGATATAAATGTACCAGCTGGAGCGATGCACAACACGACCGCGCGATAAATCAGGGATCTGTCACGAACGCAAGCGCGCGATTCAAACCTCAAGTGCGGTAACATATGATCCTCGAATAACGTAATTATCTCTTCGAGTCACTCGGTCGTTTGTTAGTGTCACTTTTGCATCGATTAAAAGGGAAAGGCACGTGCTGACAATGAGGTATCATAACAAATTTCTACGTTCAATATGAACATTGGACTGAAACAGATCATTAGCGAATCTAGCTTGTGAATCACGATACCTTTCAGGAATTCTTGTCTTATACGCGACATGGCGGCGGGAGAGCTATTCCGATCGCTCTTCCCAGATTCATTTTCTCAACCGAGCGCCGATTGGCGAGGTTCGTGCACGCGACAGCAATCGTTTCGGTAAGAGTCGGCTCGCCTCGCAGTACGGCGCGATACGATGCAATGCGACGCGATGCAATCTACGTTTGTTTATTATGAGGTCTGATAAAAGGAAACGCGGCTGGCCCGAGTGCAATGCGCGAGTGAATACACACAATAAATAAAGCTAGTGTTGCAAACTTTGCGTTCGAAATATCATAATTTCATAGTAAAAATACTTTTTAAATAAATAAATGCGATTATGAAAAAAATAATATTTTAAATAAGAAGGAAAATAATTAGAATTAAAATTAAAATACAATTACTGGTTACAGATAGAATATCTAGATAAATTCTTATTTTTTATAATGCAGAGAAACATAAAAGAAAACATAGTAATTGCATGAAGTAATTACCAGTAATAATATTATTATAGTTTATTAAATAACAAAATATAACTAATTACAGTGACAAATACACAAAAAGTATTTGGACAATTAATTGAATTTAAATGACTCTTACATTATTAGGATGTAAATTTTTGTTAAGATAGTAAATTAATGAATTCTGTCATGCTGTTTTTATAATTAATAAGTAAGAATTAAAGGCTATAATATTCTATGAATATTGTGCAGATTTTTCTTATATTTTATTGTAATACAATGCATAGTTCACGCGCTATCTCTTATTTAATTAATAAGAGTCTGCTAAAAATATTCTCAAACACACATTTCGGTAAAGCTCATTGTCCGTGAATGTCATTCAAAGATGTGTCGTTGTGAAAATACACATTCCTAACGTTGTGCGATAAGAATAGAGCAGCAGTAGGGGGAAAAGAATGAGCAATGTGATAACAAACAGGGGCGAATACGTAGAGTCACGTGCATGCAATGAATCGCGCGTTGCAGATAGTCGTAATACGTCGCTTAACTGTATTATACTTTTTCTAGTTTATTTTGATAGTCATTAAATTTTTTAGTTTATCGAACAATTAATTAAAAAAAAAAAATAACAAGCATCTGATTTAAAGATCTCCGGAAATCGAAGGATGTAATGATCAAGAATATTGGGGGGCGTCTAAATATTTGATTATTGAAACCTGAATAGAAATTTGTACGTGCATAATTTCTAGTAAAATCGATAATTGATCAAATTTAATTGTCGCCAATTCTACAAGCCGTTTACACAATACTGTAAACATTGCGCAATGAACACACTTTTATATTATTCCGACGGTATGGAGAGTCAGCTTATCTACGGCGCCAGAGTAACCACGCGGATTTTCTCGCGACCACGTGACTGATATCTTTACTACGGTGCGCGGCATGCAATAAATTTGCGCATGGCTCTATCGCCGGATGCTTAACGTTAGACAATGATTTTAAGTGCCCGAATTAAGTACTCGTGTTATCTCTCGAGCCGATGAACCCGACATCGTTAAATAACGCTGCAAATGCGAACAAGTGCCACTTAACGAGTGATAAATCACGCAAGGTTGTCTTACTCGAACGCGGGATTAAGATTAACAGAACAATAACGAATTCCGATCAATGTGGAATCGATTTTTTCTTAGCAAAAGTATTGCACCACTTATCGTAATCCCAACATCTTTCGACATCATGTCTCTTTAGAATTGAGCTTCAAATC